TTGGAAGGTCAATATAATAACAATAATAAATATATATAAATGTATAACATTACGAGATTTAAGCTACTTAGACTAAAATTTTGTGTTTTTGTGTTAAAACTTCTTAAATTAAATTAGGAAATAAATATAAATTATGCCTCTTTCATTCTACAATGAACACAAACTACAACACGAAAACAGGTCACTTTGTAAAGACTGAAGGTCAGTTATATATTATTGGATATGGTAACATGAGTGCACGTGTGCCATGTCATTGTAACTTCTGTATTGTTAGCCAGGCACGGGTGAAAGGTCAATACAATAAAAATAATAAATATATATATAAATGTATAATGTTCTGAAATTTAACCTATTTAGTCTAAACATTTTTTTTTCTTCTTATAATCTGTTGTCATTCTAGAATGAAAAGGGCATAATTTATATTTATTTCCTAATATTTTATGGTGGTTACGAGATTGGTCAAATCTATCAAACCCGTACAGAAATTCGTTACTGAAAATAACAAATAAAATATAATAAAGTTTTTTCTTAAGAAATGCTTAATAACTATCTGGATAGTATAAAACTTCACATGTGAAATTTGAAAATTTTCTGATACATAAAAGTATTTTTAATCTTAAAATAAAAATTACTTTGCATATTTGATAGGCAACATGCAAAAAGAAAAAAAAAAAGGCATGAGAAAAAAAAAGTGCTTTACAAACCTAAGACTTAATAAAAAAAAATTGATATTTTGTGTATGAAAGCATTGTAATGTTTACTGATAATATGCCAAATTTTGTTGACATACACTAACTTAAAAGTTATAGCATGAAAACTATAACAAGCACTAAATGGTTATGAGGTCAGTACTAGGGACCGAACTTGTGCTGAAAGAATTAAAGCCCTTCCCCAAAAAAATTCGGGCTCATTATGACATTAGGCCAGTACACACAAACAACCTGCACAACTTTTAACATACAGTAATGGTTTAGTAATAGCCTTGTGTCACAGATAGCCTAATATAAACTTACAGGCATATGCTTATAAATATATAGTAACAGACACCATACAAAATTTACATTAATAATATACACATTTAAATGTCACAAATAGTTATTTGACCCAATAATTACTAGACATATAAGAAAATTTCATTAAGACCTAACCAAATGCAACATTAACAAAAACACTAGGAGCAGTAATAATAAATAAAATATAAAAAAAACACTTATGCTTGGCAGATAAGCCTTTCAAGTCTTTATAATCTACAAAAAAAATTTAGAAAAGCAAAACAAGAAGTACTGAATAATCAAAAGTTCAGTTTTTTATAAATCACATTGTATTATTGAAAATAAGAATACTTTTGGATTATACTGGCAAGTTAACATTAAAAAACATATATACATCTAGTTAACAGAAATAATATTTTGGTTGCAACTAGTTATTTCTTATTTCATGATTAAAACATATCTTTACACCATGTTGTTCACTTGGATGAAAAATACTCAAATGCAATAATTCTTACCTCACCAGGTTTATTGTACACATAGCAATTTGTGAACATTGTTTTGAAATCATCAACACATTCACTTGCAGAATTATACCAGCAACTTTCAAGCCTTTTCTTGATTGTTCCTAGATCCATAGGACTGTGTATAATATTGTGATAGTCCTACAACACAAGAAACAAAATAAATAGAAAAAGTATTTAAAAGAAATTTTTTCCCAATAAAATTAGTTGTTTTATATCCAGAACAGCCTTGATTTTTGAATTAATTCCACCATATTCTCTAAAACAGTGGGTCTTGGAACCAGACAATATAAAACAAACATATTTTTATTCAAAATTATAAGAACATTAACAGACTTTGCTGAAATACGGTAGAACAGTTTCCTCTCTCCTCCCAAAACTAAGCATGGATTACATAAAATTGTCAGGCTACTGAGGAAGATCATGAGATGGAAAAGTTTAGGAGCCCCTGCTCTAAATAACTATATTCTAAACTTTCACACAGCAACCTGATCCATACACAACAAAGTGAAACAAACTGTAACAGTGACATTAACTAATATTACAAAATTGGAAAGGAAAAATAGTCATTAAAATAGAAACCAAAACAGAACCTCATTATGTAAAAATTAAACAGCAAAAGTTAATCCATATAAATTGTATGCTCCTGCCAAGAACAAACTAAAATATGCCAAAATTTATTATTTCTTTTTCTATTTTACCAGGAAAATATAAATGAATTCACAAGAAATCCAACACTTAAAACATTTTTTCTACACATAGAAAAGGCATTCTTTTGTGTGTACATTTATCTCAGAAAGTTTGTTATATTAGATTATCAAAATTTAGTTATGACTTTATAAATACCCTTTATGTTTAGATAAATTCAGCTTTAAGCACTGTCAGGAAAGTGTTAAACTTATATATATATATATATATAAAAAAAGAAATTTACATTTATGAAACAAATTATCTGTATCAGTTCAAGGTATCAACTAAACAATATTAATAAACAATCGCTGAAACCCAAGAAATTATGGTAACTTAATACAACATTCATTTAGTGAATAATAAGTTAAAAACTGAGAAATTAACACATAATTAATGATCTCAAAGACTACACACAGTCCTTCTTGGTTGTGCTGTCAAAACTGACAGACTACTATTACATACTTACAGGTAGCTTGAGTTTGATTGTATCAACAGGTTCACGAAATGGCCAAGCAAACTGGTGTTTCCACACTGCCTTCATTACAACTTTCAAAAGAAATTGCAATTGGTTGGTGTTTCGGTGAGGTTTATCTGGAGGTGGCATAAAAGGAGGTTGCACAATACCATTCACAGGTCTTTGAATGGCATCTGAATCTTTGACTGCTGCATTGTCATTCATGTCATTCTGATATGAGAGAGCAGGAAAGGCAACCTAAATTGATACAGATTTTGAAAGGGAAAATACACAAAACTTAATTTAAGTACTGAAGTAAGCTGTCAGTTTCTGTCCAGTTAATGTCTGCAGTTCATCTGTAAAAAAAATTAAAGGAGAAATGCCACAATGTGGTCCAACTTATTTCCTTGTGACATTAAAGTTTTTTGCAATTTTTTATACACTTTAGAGAGTAAAATTTTCAATCCACACCCCATTAGTTTTTCTTGCTCCAATGGTTACTCATGAATATTTAATCATTTTATGTACATTTCACGATTGGAAACCAGCTTCTTTGGCAACTGGCAATGTTTGCCAGTTAATTTAAAAGTTTATCACAGAAGTCCCACCCATACTAATAAAAGAAAAAAAAATTATTATGCTATGTGCTCTCGGTGAATTAGTCAGCAGATGTGAATAACCAGGAGGAATTATATTTTTCACATTGTGTAATACTTACTATACTATCAAATCTGAGATTATGTCTGTAATAATAATCACTTTTTCTTGTATTAACTGAAAAACAAAGATATAATAAAAAATAAAAATACCATTTGAATATATTGTTTCTACTTGTTGTATTAAACTTTGGGAACTGAAAAATGCACAAGAATAATGTGCAACAAGCTACTAGCAAATGCTTAACAATCACCTATTGTAGTATGATTTTCCCATGAATGTTGTTCTTACAACCAGATTTTTTAAAATATAAAATGTTTACAACTGGTCAGAATATTCATAACTATGCCTGGACTATCAGCTGGAGGGAGTGGCTAAACATTAGGACCCACTGCATTTTTGCTAGATAGCCACTGCTACTTTTGAGCCCTACAATTTCTTTGAATATACATCAAGATGGGTTTTATAAAACCAATTTTTAGGTATCAACTAAACAATATTAATAAATAATTGCCCTACATTTGCATCCATTTTTTGAATATAAGGTTACTGGTTGAATTTTTTCTAAGTTCAACCAGTAACAATATACACTGCTCCACCAGAAGCACCCAGACACTGAAATGAAATTCAGTGAATGTAAAGTCATCCTGCATGGATTAGCAGGAGCAATGTGTGTGTGTGAATGATACCAAAATATTGTGAATTAATTTCTTTTAAGAGTTGAGAAAAACAATACACTCCTAAGTCACCACATCACAATTTCTTCAGTGATGATTCTTAGGTGAATTAGAAACTAAACTTAATGTAAGTTCAGTTTCACAGCACAAGAATAAAATGATGCAATGTGAGTAATGCCAAGTTGTTTTATTTGAGTTAAAGCCAAATTCCCCCCTTTCTTTTTTGTTAAGGTGTTTCTGAATGGGTTTCAGGCATTTCTGTGTTATATCAACCCAAGACACACATTGTAATCATTATTGTTTAACTAGGCCTTTAGAGAAAAGCAACTCATACAGGAAATTAATATGCACATCAGGATACTACTAATATTATAGACATTATCATGCAGGTTACATGAGATTGGAAAGTGTGTTGGCTTTAAAGATGACAATGTGCGAAAAAAGCCAGAAGCAGCAGTGACACCTGATGACATCCTCATACTGAGAAGAGCTATGCAAAATGAACTGTGGGAATGAGAGTGACCAGATGAAAGGGAGAAGGGTATTTTTAATTTTTATTAATTGATGTTCTTTCTCATTCATGTCTTATGTGATATGTTTCAAGAATAAATATTTATTTATAACTAATGGAAAGTAGTTAAATGCCTCAACTAAGTAGAAACATACTGAATTCATTGCTTCATGTCACTATCACTAAAGTTGGTATATATATCATAAAACTTGTGAGAAATAAAGTAAGAATCTGCTAAAGTAGTTAAATGCCTCAACTAAGTAGAAACATACTGAATTCATTGCTTCATGTCACTATCACTAAAGTTGGTATATATATCATAAAACTTGTGAGAAATAAAGTAAGAATCTGCTAATAATGGTCACTGATTGCTCGCACTGCAATCATTCAGTCCAGCATTTATCACTGCATTTGGCATGCTTACTTTTTGCAGTTGCTTCCATAAGATGCAAATGTAATGAAATACAGGTTATTTTGAAAGCCATTTTAAAGCTTATTTTACATTTCTGACAACCAAGTTTTGCAATACAACTGAACTTTCTTCACATTCATACCACTAAGAAAAATAATACTTTTTATACCTATTTTTATTGTTGGACAAAACTAGAGGAAATTTTTAGGAAATTTCACATGGCTCTAGAATCAAAAGTAGGCACAGAAATGAATAAAATTTTGCAGACCTGTTCTGTTGGTGCATTACGGTCAGGATAAGGCAAAACATCTGCCACTTTTAATTCTCAAAAATAATAGTAAGCATGCATATTTTATGCATAATGAGCAAACTATGTAAATAGAAAAGACTAAAGTAGTTTTGATTTGTCTTTTCCTTTTCTTTGGCCATAAAACTACTTTTTTGTTGATATATACACATAAACCAAACATTATAACCAACAATATTAATGAAACTAACTTTAAAGGAGTATGTCTTTATATACAAAAAATATATGGTTGCTTCAAGTTCTGTCACTGATTCCCTATCCCTAGAAAAGTGTGATACCAGTATAGGAAAAACTTTTTATGATATTTTTTAACAGTTACTGACCAATAAGTGTGTAGTATATTGTACAGTATAATGGATACTGAGATATGAAAATGATTACAGCAACAAGAAGACTTAACCACTGAATTATAAAAAATGGTAAACTCAACAGCTAAAGTTATTAAAAGATACCAATTTATCTAAACCATAGATATCAATGCTGTATTACAGAAAATTGAATATATTACAATAGTGATTTCATAGGTAATGTCATGCCACTGAGAACTTAACATTTTTGGAAAGAATATATAACAGTCTGCTGACTGCTTCAATGCATAATATTCATATTTTCATACAATAGCATTCATTTGTTACTTGCATAACCTGTAGAATCTCCAAAATAAATACTAGGTTTGGTTATTTTTGATTAGAATTTATACTTAGTCTCTTATTTTCTCTACCCTAACACTAACTGTAGCAAAATCAGTAATGTATGGAAAATGCAAAATAAATATAAATCAACCTTCTTTTTCCTTCTAGAATGACTAGACATTGTAAGAGACAATTACACTTATCTAACAGCATATGCTACTAGCCTTTTACAGCTATTTTTATTTAATTTTATGACTTTACAGATGTACTATAGAAATGGAAGTAAAAACTATTTAACACAGTGGCACAACCTAGTGCTGCAAACAAATGATCAGATTACAATCATGCAACACTATGTTGTGTTGTTGCCTCAGTGTCAAACATCCAAAGAGCCCCACCCAAATTTTTTTTTTTTCATTCGGTTTTCTTATCTTGGGGCATTTTGCACTCAGGTGCATAGTTTGGTAGGTCTACCTTTTTCTACGTTGGTTATCTAAAAATAATTAAGGTAACTTTCAAATATGAATTTTAGAACACCAAAAACATTTCACTCACTATATTAGATTTTTCCAAAAACTACTGTAATTTATCTAATTTTCTAAGTAATCTATAAATAGGTTTAAAAAATAATATTTTTCCTCAGGACAAGAACTTACTCAACACAAGTCAAGCTTTCCTGCATATTATCAGCTCTTATAGCTAAAACAAACCTTGTGGGGCACTCAGTAGAGCACATACCTCCACCAGTCAGTGTTGATCATATTCGGCCATCAAAAAATATGAACATTTGTCCATATGTTCCTCATTTTCAATGGACATGAACCATTTTTAGCAAGACAACGAGGAATAATATTCTAGATATTTCCACCAAGTTTTATTAAAATTGATCATTTTTGACTGAGTTACAGAGCAAATATTGTGTGTGAAAAAACCTACCCCATGTTAACAGATAGGGATTTTTTAGCTTTTTGTGATCTTGACCCTCCAACAACTAATCACTTCTAAGTTGGGTCATAGTCCAACTGTATACCAACTTTCATCCAAATTCATAAACATATCCAATAGCATCTTCAAAGAGAATTAGACATTTCTTAAAAGACAGAGGCTATGGAAGGGACATGGATTGAACAAATACAGTGATATCACAATAAAGCAAGATGAGGTTGACATTTTATAGTCTGGCTTGTCAATATCTATAAAACATGTTTCTAATTTGTTGAACAACCTGAATCCCTAGTAAGGGAAGAGAAAAACGTGTGACCTTGTGTTTATTTTGAAGTTCATGCAAAGATACTTAAGGGTTACCTAGAATAGATGTACCTGATTTTGAAGTGATAGACTATAGGAAAGGTGGCCAACTATTGGGCTAACCTTTAACAAAGAATAGTGGACTGACCTTCAGATTATAATCTCCCCACAACTGAAAGGGTTAAGCACGATTGAGGACAGGATTTGATCCTGTGACCTTCAGATTGTGAGTCAAGTTCTCTTACCAGCAGGCCAGTGACTCTGAGAGGTGAAAATTGATAATTTGAGTATTTCCTTTTAAAATTATGAAACTAAAACTTAGATAATATAAATATTTTAATTATATACTACATTTTGATGTCAAGCTAATTGACAAAAATTGGTAATAAAGTATCTTAATTACATTTTGAATGCAACTTTGTAGAAAGGTTATGATATTTGCACTTTGACCCACCCATATCATTTGGGTTAAGCAGCTGAAGAATGAAATGGATATTCATGCTATTCCATACAAAGACACACCAGTTAAGTCACTGAAGTAAGTACCTATGGATTTCTGTGTGATTGGAATGTTGTCACAGATGCTGGGAAACCACTGTCCTTATACACTTGATGGACTGTAGAAAGCATACAGGGTAGATTGGTGTCCTTTGGATATGACAGCCTTACAACAGAGCCTTTTACAATGGAAACTATGCTGCAGGGTTATTGTCATAGGGCATGATCATCAGATAAAGCTGGAATGAATGTGACAGCATGGACTGTAACAATATTGTGAAGCTCCAAA